GCATCAGATCACCAAGATGCCCTTTGTTGAGGCCAACTATTACAAGGTCTAACGTGGTCATCGCCGCCGCCGCCAGCGCTCCTCTTGTGATGGTTTATGACAATTTTTCAAGGTCTCTTATAACCACTGTATCATCCTCCCGTTTGGGTTGGTAGGAACTCGGTAGTGTATCGACTCCACCATAGTTTTTTCTGCCAATGTTATCCCGGTTATTCGGGGAGGATTCAACACAGGGAGATGGCCAGCACGGCCCACAACGCCACCCGCAGCAGTCCTCGCCAGCAGGGCCCCCAGGGGGAAGGGGTGGAGGCTTACAGCGATCCTCAGGTGAGGAAGGCGATAGGGGCATCTATCTCTTCACTAGTGGGGTACTCTCAGAATCGATCGAGTCGGCACAAGATTGGCGTAACGAAGAGCTGCAGGACATGCAAATGAAATTGGAATCAGCGATGGAACGGCTTAATAGAGGTTAGCGTGGAGGCGACTCTGGTGGTAAGATGGCGATTTTCAGAATCGACCTTGGCAGACCAGCTGAGGGCAGCCTTGTCGAATAAGGAAGGGGAGGCTGAGCAGCTGCAGCAGACGGTGAAGATGCTCCAGGCGGTAGGCGTGGTCAGAGGGAGCGTTCTGTCTGATTGGGCTTGGATGCAGGAGAACAGCAGATTGAATAGCAGCTCAACTGATGATGACGATGGGAGTGTTAAGAAGCTGAGGAATAGGATTGAAGAGCAAGAGGCTAAGGTGATAAGGGGGAGGTACACTAGCGGCTCCACGTTGTGTTCACCGTGGGTTGAGGGTATATAATCGCGATATCGATTTGATAAGCATCGTATAGTAATGGCAGGAGGGCACTCATCAACAGTAGCGACTCGGAGTGGAGAGGCCGGGGAGAAGTTTATGTGTCAGATAACTGCCTTACAATCGGCACTGGAGGAAGCCCATGCGGCTAAGGAAGTTTCGGTCAGTAGTGGTCAGCAGCAGGAAGAGTACCAGGGTCTTCGGGAGGAGCTGGGACGATTGCAGGAGAGTGTGGAGAGATACCAAGCTGAGCTGCAACGAAGGGAGGTAGGGGCGATGGCGATGGTGTAGCTGCTATCAACACTGGGAGGGTAGGTGGAGAATAAGGAGTTGCAAGGGGAGTTGGCAGATGCCAAGCGAGCTGATGATGAACAACGTAATAACCAGTGTATGGTTTCGGGGGGGATTTGTGGTTGTTGATGCAGGCAGTGAATTGAGCAGCCGAGTTGAATCGGCGGAGAAGATGGTATCAGAGTTACGAGAAGAGTTGCAGAGAGCCCATGAAGATGAGGTGAAGTTGAGAGGAGAGTGGTATGGTTTATATAAATATCAGGCGGCCACTGTTGGGAAGTATGAGGCACGCATTGAGGAGTTGGAGAGGGCCAACTCTCCCAAACGGGGGGATGTAATAGGAGGCATCTCTTGCTGCTGAGGGACAGCTTCACGATACGTGTCAGGTGTCGTCGATGGCTTCGAGTTACGAGGTTGTGGACTTGGACCCTAACACGATGGAGCATCCAGGTGACACACAACTAGAGGAGGCCGCCAGAATGGCTGAGGAGGACAATGTCAGTCGAGTGTTTGCTTCCTGGGACATGGGTAGGTTTAGGCGGCTTTGAGAGCTGAGCTGGCAGAGCGAACGGCGAAAGTCGATGAGCTGCAGAACAGCGTGCATGACTTACAGGAGCATGTTGAAGATATGACAGCACGGCTGAGAGGTGAAGGGATCTATTGTGTGCGGTTGGGTAGAAGGGAAGGGGTGGTTTGCAGAAGCAGAGGCTGGTCGAGAGAGGAGCCTTCAAGAGCTGTCGGAGGCTACGCTCACGTTGAAGGATCAACAGAAGGGCGCTGAGGAGGGCAGAGCGAGAGCTGATGAGGAAGCGGTAGTTAATGGAGTTGGTTGCCGTTCCTGGTCTATGCTGGAGCTGTAGGAGTCCCTAAGACGAGAGCTTGAGGCTAAGGAATT